AAAATTTAATAAAAAAAAAAACAAATTAAATTTGATTTAAAATTTATTTCTTGTCAGTTATGTGCCATGCAGGATACACGCATAAGCAATCATGTATCTTTCGATACATGACTGACGAGGCAACTTTTTTTTCCCGCAGTAGGTTGTCATTTCTTTCTGCGGTAGACTAGTCGCCATCCAAGGCTATAGAACCCGGTCTCTCCTGCTATTTACCCATAGCTGTGGGGAGAAGAGGATTCATACCTTTCCCAAGTGAATGTAATGGATTCGACTGGAATTCGAACACGACTCTCCGATTCCTCAATCCGAATCGCTTATCAATTACTCCACCGTTGTGGTGAATAAATATTTGCGATAAGTAACTTTACGTTATTTGTGGTGAATTAACAGGAAAGTTCCATTGAATGTTGAAGAGAAGGAAATCTGAATTTCAAAACTATGGAGAAAGCAACAGGGAACCGTTTTACTATCTTCTAAGAAAGCACTGATAACAGAGAAAAGGAATATGTGGAGAGCCATCATCGCGTGACTGCTGAGAGAAAATGGTATATTTGCTTATAATATATTGTAATACAGTGAAAGTAGGTCAGTTGGTTTGAATGCAAATTAGAAAGGTTGGCACTAAAGTTATAAAGTATATCATATATTGATTTTGTGTATGTCTATCTGCTACCACTGACGATATAGGAAGTGGGTGGGGGGTTTCACGACTTGGTATTTTTGTTAAAGGTGGATTAGTTTTCAAACTGCTGAGTTTGGCCCGAAATCAAGGAATGAATATTAGGTTCAGTGCCAGTTTCAGCATCTGTATGTGTTTATCAGTTCTGATTTGCCCCCAATATGAGGAAATCCCCAAGAGAGCGAGAGGAAAAGCAGTTGACTAAATAAACGGAACTTCAAACTAGGTCATGTCAAAAGAGGGGAATCATTACTCCCAAGTAACAACCACTTGGAACTGGGATTTTAATTCTCTTTTTTTTTTTTTTAAGGTCAAGAAATTTCTTGCTCAGAGAGATCTCTTCAGTCGGTTTTCAAGTGGTTAAATTGAACACAAAGAAAATCAACTAAAGTAGTACTTCTCATAGTGTCAGTTCACATACCTACCCTTGTGATCCCTGGTTTTTGCAATCCCTCCTTCATTTTGAACTGGGGACTTTTTTTACTATAATATCTTAAATAGTAATAATTATGTCTGTCTATATTTCTGAGATGAGGTATTATATACATTTACATTATTCGGTATGAATTTTTGGGTATTATAAACCTAATGTCTTCAGCAACCATTTTTACCAATGCTCATATTGCAACTTTGTTGTTATCATTGCTTTTCTCTGGCACTGCTTATTACTGGTTCCTATATTGTATTTATTTCTATGCTTGGTCGGCTCAGGAGATTTTTGTGGCCCAGCATATGTGCTGATTCCTTAAGTTTACAATTTACATACCCAGATGCCCTATACATGGAACAGTGGATAAAGGCGTTGGTTACATCCAGTGACAGGACCCAAAGTATGTGAGTTCAATACCCGGTTAAGGCAGTGGAGAACTTTCAGAGGGAAATTAGCAGGAGATAACTGATAACTGACATCCATCAAACATGGCACGTGGAACTAGAACAGTCTACCCCAGTGAGCGAAATAAAGGGTTCAGTTCGACATTCCAACCACCTGAAGAAGGCCGGAGCGTACAACGGCCGAAACGTTGTGATAAATATGGCGTCAAAGATGAGGACAATAGTCCGAATAATGTAAATAATGTAGTAATAATTATTTGAATCAGTTCATGAAATCAAATAACTTTATGGACGTATATTCTTTTCGAGTCAGTTTCAGTTGATGCCTACTTTTTTTTCTCTCTCTCCATCTATCTTAACTACAATTTGGAGAAGTGAAATTTTTTTCTGAAATATGGTAGAAATTTTCTTGGGTTTTCATCTGAAATCATGAAAATTCGAACTCAAACAAAATGGTCGCAATATATGAAAACCAAAAAAAAATATTTCAAAAACAATTTCTTTCCGGTAGTAAATAGGAGAAAAAGGAAGTGGATACAAACGGACAGGTTCGAATAAGCAGGCAGGTTATTGGAAATATAATAAACAGTGGATAGGTTGATGGTGGATCCGTACCCACGATGAGCTAGAGGAGGAGTAATAGGAGGAGGAGATAGAAGAAAAAGGTTTGGTTTGGTTTGGTTTGTTGTGTTTTACGGCATATCAACCTCAATGGGTTATTTAATGCCGACAACTTTTTCCTGGTAATATTTTGTTTTGTCAAAAATCTATTTGTGGTAATATTTTTTCCTCAAAAATGTATAGCTGATAATATTATTTTAAAACATATATTGTTGGTAATATTTTTTTTTTCAAAAACGTATTGTTGGTAATATTTTTTTTTTTCAAAAACGTATTGCTGGTAATATTTTTTTTTTCAAAAATATATTGCTGGTAATAGGTTTTTTCTTCAAAAATTTATTTCTGATAATAACTTTTTACAAAGTATTTCTGGTATTACAACCCATTTTTGCATTTTATAATGCTTTTTACCTCAATTTCGGGGTAACTCTTTGCCCATAGCTGGGGCCCTAACAGGTTCTACCACCCCGGGTCAGGGTAGACCTGAGAGCACCAGCAATTAAGAGGTGGTCCCACGCTCCTCAAAACCTCCGGATCAGAGGCCTTGCTGCTGGATGTAGTTTATCGTCATACCCAGGACGGAGAAGTAGGAGTAATAGGAAGAGAAGTAGAAGGAGGAGGAGGAGAAGTAGTATAAAAAAGGTTTATTCTTAAATTGCAAAGGAGAATCATTGCATAAACTTTACGATTTACCAGCTGAGAATGAAAACAACTGCTTATTCTTTTAGTATTTTAATTATTACCTAGATTAGATTCTGTCTGTTTCGTGTTGATATACATTTGAATTGCAGAAAGTTGTCGCATTTCTTTATACTTCTTTTATATGACATGTCTCTTAAAGACGTCGGTGATGATGGCTCTCCATAACTTCCTCTCTTTTTTACCTTTTAACACGTTGCCTGCCAATTACTAAATCTGATTTCAAGCGTCAACTTTATAAGAGCCAAATTCGGTAATAAAAATAAATTACGAGTTGATTTACAGCATCACCTGAAGTCTTAACATTGTTTTTATACTAAAAGTACTACCAGGCAATTTGACGCCTGTTTGCTTGGTGATTAACTACCAAATGACATAAAACCTCCAAGAATGGATGGTGAAACATTACGTAATTTTGAAGCTATGCCACCGAGAAGAAATGACGTCCAACTAGACACGGCAGTGTTTGTGCAAAAAACAAATTACGGCGAGAAACACAGTACTTTTGTGCTGTTTGTGAAGACAAATCACCTTTCTGCATTGTTGATTGTTTAAAAAATTGCTATTGTAGCACTTAGTTTGACTATTGGACACTCCTCTTGCTTTTCAAATAATTCGTTTATGTGTTATATTTTCAATAAATTATCCTCATAAAAAGTTTAGTTGCCAATAAGATTTTTCAATCTCGGCTTAAACACCAGATAATTACGTTAAAAACAATGAAAGAACTCAAGGTTGGAGACTTGATGTCAAAACCATAAATACGAGATAACTGGTGGTCAGCGACATAATAAAAACTGTTAATTAATAATTACTATCCTTCTCAGTTCATGTTCTATTTATCCGTACTCGTTAGGTATGTTACTCTGTTTCCTGCCTTCAGTGTGCCAGGTGAGCGTTAAATTCACCCGCTTTCCCCATTATGTATACCAGACATTTCAACTACCTCTTTCTGATCTTAAGCACAAATGCCCCTTTCGTTCCCATTTTCCTTAAAACTTCCTCATTGCTTACATGTTCCGTTCATGATATTCTCAGTAGCTTTCTGTAGAGCCAAATCCCTGTTGCCTGAAGTTTCCTCTTCATCTGTGAAGAAATTATTCACTATTCACTGCTATATAGGAGATTAGATATTACATAGCAGTTCAGCACTCTTTTCTTTGTTTCTAAAGACATTTTCCTGTCTCTTAATACTTTGCTCAGTTTATGAAAGGTATGAGGAGATTGTCCATCATTTGCTGCCATATAGGAGATTAGATATTACATAGCAGTTCAGTACTCTTTTCTCTGTTTCTAAAGACATTTTCCTATTTCTTAATACATTGCTTAGTTTGTGCAAAGCATCAGGATATTGTCCAACATTCACTGCCATATAGAAGAATTGATATTTAATATAGTTTTCTTTCTAACGAGATTTTCCCGTTTCTTAATACTTTGCTTAGCTTTAAGAAGTCATCTTTCGTCATTCCATTTTGTCTTCAGATTTCGGTGCCATATTTTTCGTCGTTTGTTATAATACTTCCCAGATAGTTCAATTTCGATACTTGCTTGATTTTGACATTTTCAGTAAGTAATTCGCATCTTGAGCTGCCCATCTTGCTAATGACTATATATTGTGTATTCTCAAGATTGATGGTTAGTCCTTTCTTCTCGCTTTCCTTTACTGCCCTGTATAGAAATATCTGTAGTTCTCTCATTGTATCAGACACCTGCGCTACATGTCTTTCATACCGTGAAGTGAGCTCCAAGGATCTTGTCCTCTTTCATACTATTCTATCTTGTATTCGCTTTGTGAACAGCTGCTGAATGGCAGGTGACGCCTGTCTCTCATGTCTTTCTCGACAGAGCGATGAATCGGTCCCAAAGGACTCAACTCATTTCACGCCATTCTCTCTCCATATATATATATATATATATATATATATATATATATATATATATATATATATATATATATATATATATATATATATATATATATATTATCTTGGGAAATGATAGGGGTTGGTCTCGTGTTGTCTTCTCTACAGTGACATTATTGAGACACCACCACTAGTTAATTGTTAAACCGGATTACAGGACTTATCATGAATTACTAGAAGCACAAATAACATGTATGAATAAAATCTTCATTAAAATTATGGTCGGATTAAATTGAAGGAGATTTTACGGTCATATCACGTTGAAACACCGGTTCTCGTCCGATTTTGAAGTTAAGCAACGTTGAGCCTGGTCAGCGCCTAGATGGGTGACGGTTTGGTAATACCAGGTGCTGTCAGCCTGGATGTGATGATGGTGTAATGGATAACGGCTCGGGATAAGTCGGAGAGCCCAGGTCGAATTTTAGTTGGTTTAGTTACATTAACTTAACGAAAATATTCTTGGGGGATCATGAACCGAAAGGAGACATGACCAGCCAAGCATGTCACATCCGCCCCTGCCAATACGCATTGGATGAGTGCGTTCGGTTAATGTACCGTTCCTCTCTGTGAATCTGGGGGTAGCTCTCCGCCCAGGGGAAGTTCACCGCCCAACAAAGGACCTTCACATTTATAAGTAGAAAAAAATTTAAAAGAATGTTGGATTAAAAAAATAAATCCTTTATAGCACTTAGTAAAGTTTATATATTCATTATATCTCCTAATCCCTTTTCTGTCAGCCATTCACATAATCTTGTTAGGTAGGTAATGCTGTGCTTTCATCTATCCCTCTTGCCTTCAATATGTTCTGTGAGTGTCAAATTTTCTAAGCCCTTTTTCCTCGTTATGTATCCTAGAAAGATCAACTGTCTTTTTCTGATTCTAAATATAAGTGTCCTTTTTGTTTCCATTTTATCTAAGACGTCGACATCGCTTTACTACATCTCAATTTTTCATAAGGTAGTCAGTTATGTGCCATGCGTGATATACGCTTAGGCGATCATGTATCTTCCGTTGATTTAAACACAAATTTTAAACTAAAAACTCCCTCAATTTTCAAGCAATCTAATACAAACTTCACTCAATTGTAGCCAACAATAACTTGATTGTTTAACAGTCATTTAACTTGATAATTGAGTCCAGCTAATATATATATATATATATATATATATATATAAGAGAGAGAGAGAGAGAGAGCTCACTTATACATCCAGATTCTTTTTTCCTCCGATTTCGTTCAAACTCGGTATGTAGGTTACGAGCGCAACGATACCTCATTTTACCGAAAAACCACGGAAAAGATAAATCAACTCAAATCGATTTCAACACAAATTTTAAACTAAAAACTCCTTCAATTTTCAAGCAATCTAATACAAACTTCACTCAATTGTAGCCAACAATAACTTGATTAACAGTCATTTAACTTGATAATTGAGTCCACCCATCTAGTGAAAAACCGTGTAAATATTGAAAAATGGTGATTTTTATTGGTTTCTTATTTTCGTTGATCTTTCAACCAATTTTCATCAAACTTAACAAATGCTTTATAAATGTATCCTCTTTTACATTGACTAATTGAATTTCAAAAATTCCAAAATAATTGTTGTGGGTCTTCATGTTGCCTGTTTTACCCTTTCATGTCCTCGGCTAACTTCAATTGAATAAATACAAACTACTTCTATTCTATCGGTAACTGTATTAACCCATTACCTGCCATGGAGCCTCATTTGGGGATCTGTTAAAATTAAACTCACTACATGTTATTCCTTGTATTTACATTGAATTGCTTACATACATTGCATTTGCAGAGGTATATTTTACAACACTTAGCCTTTAAAGTTTTTATTATTAGCCGTAAGAAGACACTTTCTGTCGTAATTTTACATTTCACGAGTAGAAAAATAATGACTATTTTGAAAAGTTTTTTTTTTATTATTTCTAATCAATATTATTTTTTGATGTTTTATACACATATATATTTGATGTTCTAGTTTCTATAAAAACGACAATGGTAACTACTAAAATTAAACATAAGGAATAAATAAACTCCTAAAGCACTTGTCTGGGGCAAAAATGCGCATTAAAAAAATTTGGCAATTAATGGGTTAATTCGAAATGCTTTTTTTAATGAAAGTACTTTAAAGTAATTGAAGATAGACTCTGTTACATCTAAACATGATGCTGTTTTTGCTCCATTCTAATTGAACGCTTTTTTTTTCTGATCGACCAGCTGAGTATGGCTGCTAGTCTTGAATATTTCTCATCTGGCTCTTGTTTTTTCCTTTACCGGAAACTTACATGAAATTTCGGAGAAAAATGATAAAAACTTCGAGTAAATTTCGTTCACCCAAAATGTCATCATTTTCTGAGTATGTGTCTGGCTTGTTACATTCAATATTTCAAACAAGTGACTTCCCATCGTCGCTGAGCAGACACGGAATAGACGTGTGTGATCTCATGGGGTCAACTAGATTTGAACGCCTATTAGGACATATGCTCACTCTGCAAATCTCAAGTAGAACACGTATATACGACCCAGAGGCTGGAAAAAACGTTGGAAACAGGTCGCTACTCCATTGCTATTTCCATGAAAAATATTTCGACGAGCTACATCCCTTAATTCCACAAATGTTAACCTTCACAGTTAAGACCCGACACGCCACGTACACTAAGACGAACCATCCTCCTCCCCTTCGAATTTCATTAGTAAGGATGATGTTCCGCTCGAACAGCTTCTTCCAGTGAACCACTATTTTGTGGAACCGACTATAGTCCAAATAATGTAAATAGTGTACATAATACCTCATCTCAGAAATATAGACAGATAAAGAAGTTTTTCTTTAACAGATATAAGCACTTGCCTGATTTACAATTGTTATTTCGTCCACCGGCGTAGATTGAACTAGTTCCACGTGCCATGCCTCTTCCGAATGTCTGTTATTTCCCTTTTACTCAACTCTTTAAGGTTTGGTTCACCACTATTCTGGCTTGGTATTGAACTAACAAGTTTTGGGGTCTAGTCACTGGATCTAACCAACGTCTTTATCCATTGGGTCATATGTCTCTGAGTGGATAAAGACGTTGGTTAGATATTGTATTCATTTCTATACTTGAACAATCTACCTCCGTGGGCGAAATAAAGGGTTCGGTTCGAAATTCCAAGCACCTGAAGAAGGTCAGAGCGTACAACGGCGGAAACGTTGTGAATATGGCAATGAAGATGTGGATAACAGTCCGAATAATGTAAATAATGCAAATAATCATAATACCTCATCTCAGAGATATAGGCACATGTAAACAAATAAACGCTTTGATGGAAATTAAGCTGTTGATAATTTGGGGGGGGGCGTCAATTCTTTCTTGGCTTGAAGAATTACTTCATTATTTTCTCCATATATTTTCCCTTGCCTTGCATCTCGGATTAACAAGTCCCATAGTCTGGTTACGTCATCTCGTAAGACCACTTTTACGGAGAGATTCTATGTATCAGACGACATCAAAAACAACTAAAGAAACTACGCAAAGGCTTAAAACTATCCTTCCCTGGTGCAAGATCTGGCCAAGGGATCTAGATGTATGTTATACCGGCTGAATGCTTTGGCGTCCAAGAAGCCTCTGCAAATTTCGATGAAAACTTCGTCGAAACCTCAAAGCCAACAACGGCGCTGCTACAGACTGTGTGCGTCCAGACTAAGTTTGGTTGGATTTTATGGCATATCAACCACTGTAGGTCATTTAATGCCAAATTAAGTTTTATATATACCTATACATATTAAATATACAGTACTATTAAACGTAGAGCTGGCAACATTATTTTTCTGAAAACATTATCTGAGGCCTTGCTGTTGGACGTAGTTTATCGTCATACCCAGGACGCACAAACTCCGGATCAACCGATGAATTACAAAACAACTATTAAGAATTACAATTAATTAATTAATGTGATCGCGAAGATGCGCCTACTTTGTTTCGCATTATTTTACTAGGGACCCCTAAAAGAGATTTAAAAGTATTTTTCCACTAAGCCCAGAGCAAAGAAAAAAAAAAGCTCTACTCAAAGTGACCAGCACCATTGTGCAATTTTGAGAGTAATCATAATCACCCCCACTGTTCCAAACTCTGTCTAGACTTGGATTGCGGGATCACATTCGATTCTACTGATGAATTGCAAAATAAAGTCGTCTTCGAACTGGAATCACATGTCACATCTGACCAAAGATCATATTTTGTGGGTGAGGAAGAAAGCTTTTTCTTTCGGTTTAAAACTTCTCCATACTCCCGCCTTGTATGCGTCCATTGCGTAATGAGCGCATAAGTTATTTAGATTGCATGAAGCAAGCTGTTTAAAAGCCCATGTGGTCTTGACTAGATTATGAAAGAAAAATCCTTTTTATGCAAAGATGTCCAGTAAAAAAGAAAAACAAAAAAAAAACAATTATTACATTTCACTGTATCACAAATTTGCAAAGACGACGAACAGCTTATATTTTGTTGAAATTACAAAAGAATTAATGGCTCGCTCATGGCTTAGCATCACGACATGCATTCTTCCAAGATAAAAAAAGAGCAACCAGGCTGAAATTGCATGTGTTTCCTGCACTTCGACGCTGTATTGCGATATTAACAATCTAATGATATCATATCCCACCCCAACTTCTAACACGACCTTTCTAATGCTATGGTGCTTTTAAGGGATCTTATTCCGGGTCGAGTGAAGAAAAAAAAAAGTAAGGACCGGGAAAAGTTCCCTGCTCCCATCTCCGTGTACATACATTTACTTTCTCTTTCCTTATATTTCATTCTTTTCTTTTTTTTAATTTGCTCACTTCCTTCCCTTCTTTTATTCCTTTTAACATCCCCCCTCACTCTCTCTCACTCTCTCTCTCTATCTCTCACTCTCTCTCTCTCTCTCACTCTCTCTCTCTCTCTCTCTCTCTCTCTCTCTCTCTCTCACTCTCTCTCTCTCTCTCTCACTCTCTCTCTCTCTCTCTCACTCTCTCTCTCTCTCTCTCACTATCTCTCTCTCTCTCGGTAGAGATGTGCCACTTCGGACGGCCATACATCAATTTTCATCTCTTCGTGTTTTTTGTTTTTTTTCTTTAAAGTTCTCAGTTCGTTGACGACTCTACCCAACTCCCAGCTGGAATTTCTCGCGCCCCCTTCTTTTTTCCCCTCCTACGTCCCGGCGATTTTTGGAGAAGGCTTAAGTGAACGAAACCACAAGTTATTAGCGTGTCAACCCCCTGACCAAACACAGGTGTTCAGTTAGGAAGGTTAAAAATTGTCCCTACCGGTGTGTGTTGGGTGTGGGCGTAAATATTTACAGACACATTCTTTTTATTAGCCATTCCATACGACTTG